TATGTACAAAGCTTGTCATCTGTCTGATTGACATTCCTGTTTAACTAATATTTCTGATGTTCAATGAACCACCAATTCAATCCCTCAGTTTATTTTAAAAGATGTAAATTATAAAAAAGATGGTGTGTGAAACGTAAAATCTAACTATGAACGATTGAACACTTGGTGAGTTTAACATCATCATTTTCAGTGTGTTGGGGACGTTAGATCCCTAGAACTCACTTGATAAAGGTCCTAATTTTGGATTTTATGTTTTCGTGCAAGGGCTGATTAGTTAACCTTGAGATTACACTACCCACTCGGAAAATCCTTGACTATCAGTGGTTGATGAATTATTTTAGTACACTATTTTGTGGCTCTCCTAATGGCGTTTTTATCATGTATAAATAAACTCGATTTATGTGCTTATCAACCTCATATTTTCTGGATGCCTTATCAAAACTTCTTCATTTAGTTAGTAGGGCCGGAAGCAATCGAATCAGAATAGCCTATCGTGTCACTGTATCATTTGTCGTTTGCCGAGTAAGGTGAACTCGTAATAGTTTCATTATTCGGAGCTGAGAAGTCGACGTGTATCCTGGACCAAGGATGATCAGGTTTTGGCCATGAAATCGGCGTAACTTCGGCATTCATCTTTGCCGCTTGCTGACATCGCATGCACTTTCCAAACCTCTCTTAAGCGCCATTCAAAATTATTTCTACTGATCGTTTTGTGATGAAAAATAAGTCATTAATCCTCAAAGTTCGCCCAAAAAAGCGAGAAAATAATTTTGTTCTTTCTGACTGATATATCCTCATAAAATAACACAGGACGTGGTACATATATTTGCAGCTTGAATTCCACTGTGATTGACTCGCGTTCGTTCTCGGTAAGAGGTGAATTAGGAAATATCGAACAAAGTATTCGTTCTTGTATATTATGCCCACTAAGTACTGTAAATTCACTCTGTAAAACTCAAGGGTTTGTGTATGGTTGTGGATTTGTACTGAGATTTATAAACTTGAACAAATTAATTTCTTATCGACACTTAGTTCTCAGTGGCGGGAGGCCAAACCAAAACATGGCACAAATCCATGAAGTCACTGACAAGTGGACTGAGTCATGTTGGTAGATGTAGACTACCCGGTCGGGGTCTACGAGACGATAGTCACCGATGGTTAGAGATCTTGAAAGACATGACTCAAAATCGTGAGCAGTCGCTCACAGGTGCATCCACTCTTTGTGTTCTCTAAAATTCTAACTTTCGGGATTGCTAATCACCTCTATCTTTCTCCTTCTAAAGTTATCTCACTGAATCATACTTCTTGAATAATATCAAAAAACCCTAATCTACTTCATTACCAGTAATACTTCTACTGTCTTTACCACTATGGGATTTGAACTAACAGTTGCATCTCTGTGCTAATGTGGTATGGCAACCTGAACTGATGTACTCATGTACGAATTTCTATGTTGTAACTGACTGAGTTTTCAGTGGTTCTCCAACTACTTGTCAGTTAGTGATGAAACTTACAATCGAATCAACTCCGTAAACCTGTCAACTTGTAGACATTTTGCATATGATATACAGTCAAATACAAACGAGTAATATTCATCTCACGGATGTCATCATTTAATTTGTTTCGCATATAAACGAATATACTTATTCCAGTTTATTACATTATATGTTTTCGAATTTATAAAGTCGACTAACACGTAGATTAGTCAAGTTCACTTCAATATGTCATTTTGACTTGCATTATATTTAGTCACTGACAAGATATTTCATTGTTGGTTTTTTCCATTTGTTTGAAAATCTGAGGAAAAACAAATTAATGTTATTTGTCAATCTGAACGTCAAAAGAACATCTAGAAATTGTTGAATATCACTCAAAAGGGAATACACAAAAATACATTCTGTAAAATATTTTAAGTGTTATTTTGCTAGAAAGTAATAACTCTCCTCTTTTATCAACTAATTTGTTTCTCCGTTCAACAGGTTTTCAGGATCAGTCAGTCAGTTACAATGTAGAACTTCGTATGTACATACATAAATTCAAGCTGACATAACACATTAGCACAGAGATGAAATTGTCAATTCAAATCCCACAGTATCAGAGATAGTAGAAATATTAGCAGCAATCGGAGAGATTAGGGTTCTACGATATTATTCAAGTAGTATAATCTACTGAAAGAAACTTAAAAAGAGAAAGATAACGGTGATGTAGAATCCAGAGGATTAGGATTCGAGAAAAGCCAAGGAATGAAATGCACCTGCCCCATTGCAAACGGTTTTAAGCCACGTCATTCAAAGTCCTTTATCATTTTTCCATGAGTAATCATCACTTGGTCATCACACAACCACATAAAAAAACAAACTTACTCCAATTTAAAAGTACTAGTTCGTTTCAGTTTGAAAAATATAGCTATATATATATATATATATATATATATATATATATATATATATATATATATGAAAATGAAACTGTTGATTTTAATATTTCCTATGAGTACATAAAGGAAACGATGAAGCAATTCGATGGTATTGTGACCCTTTTCTTCCAGTTTGATAAAGTACCAAAACGCTATAATCAAAAATAATTTGTAGATTCTTAACTAATCAATTCTACTAAGGAACTTTGAAAGTGTATTATCATTCACATAAAAACAACTTTGAATCGACTAGTTAATGTTGACTAGTTTTAATTCAGTCAGTCAGACGCAACGTAGAACTTCGTACGTAAGTACATCAGTTCATGTCGCCATACCACATCAGCACAGAGATGTAATTGTCAATTCAAATCCAATAGTAGAAGAGGTAGTAAAGGTATTAAAATCAATCGGAGAGGTTAGGATTAGAAGATATTATTCAAGAAGTATGATTCAGTGAGATAAGTTTAGAAAGTCGAAAGTAGAGGGGTTGAAGAACACAGAAGATTAGGATTTGAGAGAACACAAAGAATAAATGCACCGGCGCCATTGCGAACGATTTTAAGCCATGTGATTCAAGGTCTCTAACCATTGGTGACGATGGTCTCGCGGACCCCAACCAGGTAGTCGATAACTACCGACATGGCTCAGTCCACTTGTCAAAGACTTCATGGATTTCTGCCATGTTTTGGTTTGGCTGCCTCTAGCTTTCTTCCAACCTACTCCTAAACCACAAAACAAAGTTCGACGAAGCAGTCGGTGGTTAGCCATACGTAACACATGTCCCAACCACCTCAACTGATGAAGTTTCATTACTTCATCTATTGATCTGCCAACCTTACCTAGCACCCGTTTCCTAATAACAGCGTTGCTCACTCGGTTGTCCCACGATATACGAGCAATGCTTCGAAGACACCTATGATCGAAAACCAGTAACCTACGAATATCTTCTACTCTCATTGGCCATGTTTCACAGCCATAAAGTTTTAATTAGTCAATAAATAGTACAATTTATATCTGCAGTTTCACTCTATTTACAAAAAAATAATACAAAAATAATATATTTTTAAGAAAAAAAAGTTGAAATTTTTCGTTTCACATATCTGATGAACTTGATTTTTTTCTTTTTAACGTTTTTGAATTAAACGCTCAAAACACTAACTTCACAACCACTTGAACCTTGAACAGAAAACATGGGAAGTTATAATATTTAGTAAGTAAAAAGCGTTACTACAGGTTCAGAGAAGCTAATTTATTAATTTTATATGTGGTAGAATATTGTACAAAACACCTGAAAAAGTAATTCAATCAAAGGTTGACCTGATTCAGCTGTGAAACTTTATGTTAACAATAATCGTATTAGGTTGAATTTCAACAATTCAGAGCAGCATATATTTCAAGAATATGTATGAAACAGTATCATTACTACTAGTGCTTGAATGACTGACTGTTCATAGTTTAATTGGACTAATTGAATGAAATAAAATTCAAATAGGAAGTAAACTCAAGTACATAACTAGTCAAATCTGACAAGAAGTATTGTAGATAGGTTAGCATAAAAATATTAAACTGATAAAGAATGTTTTACACATTAAAATCATCAATCGATCATTGTTAGACCACCATTAGAAACGTGGAAGCGCTGGACAGACGTTCCAGCCTGGTATGGAACTCACCTCAGCAGTGCGTATCCACGACTCCTATGACTTGAACACTTCAAACCTAGCACCTTCGGTCTTGCACAGGAACGCCTAACCTCTGGACCACTGAGCCGGCATCCAATGGTGTTAATGTCTAACTCTGATCAATCTAGGGATTTTCCTCACTAATTTATCTTCGGTAGTTAATGCCTACACTCGACAGGGTTGAACTCTACTGATGATAAAGAAATGTCATCTCGATGGAGCACACTAGATAGTTTTGTCTATTTCCCATAGTAAGAATTAGCCACTTTTAGATCTTATAGATAATACCACCTTCAGCCATAGTGAGTCAATTCATAAAATAGACACAATTTCGATAACAATTAATTTTGCATCCAGTCTAATGAATTACCGGTGCTATTGCATAGGTGAACTCTATTAACAGCCAGTCAGTCAGTTACAACGTAAAACTTCGCGCGTACGTACATCAGTTCAAGTTGCCATACCACATTAGCACAGAGATGAGATTGTTAATTCAAATCACATAATAGTAGAGGTAGTAGGACTATTAGCAGTATTCGAAGAGATTAGGGTCCGACGATATTATTCAAGAAGTAGAATCTCGTGAAATAAACTTAAAAGATAAAGGTGTTGACGAATCGAGAAGATTAGGATTTGAGAGAGCACAAAGAGTGAATGCACCTACGCCATTGCAAACGGTTTTCAGCCATGTCATTCAGCGTGTCTAACCATCGATTACTATGATCTCGTGGGCCCCAACTAAGTGGTCAACACCTACCAACATGACTCAGTCCACTTGTCAGTGAATTCATGCATTTCTTCCATGTTTTGGTTTAACCGCCCCTAGCTTTCTTCCAACCTAATTAACTCTATTAACAACTGTTCACATTAGTGTTCAAAATACTATGTTGAATGAAATAGCTTATTATTGCAACTTCGCTAAATTAAATACTATACAGATTAATAAGTGTAAGGCATTCATTTTTCAATGTACAATAACAACAATTCAATTTTCAATAATTCAACAATTCAACAATTCAACACCATTACTCACCATTAATCATAATATATATATAAACAATTTTTTAAAATTTTAAAAAATTCAAAACAAATGACAAATCATATTAAATAAATTTTACAAATCTTTCTTTTTTTTTCTTCTTCTTCTTCTGATAATTCTTGATTTGCTTTTTTTTCAAGTGTACAAAAAAAATTTACATTTGTACTACACTAAAAAAATTTAAACAATTCATTTAACTTTTACAGAAAAAAAACAAATATAATATATATTTGTATATCATTATGCAACTACTAGCTATACAATTTTTAAAAAATGTACAAATTTAAAAGATTGAAACAATCACTCCTACTACTATTACTAATTATTATATAACAATGAAAATAGAAAGCCTAGCATTGTAATAATCATTTTCTAAATATGTATTTATATATATATATATACGTATATAAAAAAAATGAGCTTTTCACAAATTAAGAAAAAAAAATAGCATAAGAATTTGATATGAAAATGAAACATGTTTGTCGTATTCACACACATATAGTAGATTAAAAAATATTGATAAGCGCGCACAAATAAGTGAGAAATTAAAACGGATCCATAGAAAAGAAAATGAAAAAAACAAACCTGAATATAGTAAGTAGTAGTAGATTGTGTTCAATCAGAATAATAAATTGTGACAGGTAGGTGATAGATAGACAGATTGATAGGTGGATAGATAGATAGACAGACAGACATGAAGACAGGAATACACGCACACACGTACACATGAAATTCAATTTAATTTTATCCTGATTGACCAAACATATCCTGGAGATGAGAAGCTAAAGCTGCATCTAAATCCCAATGATGACGAAGTAATGTATCGATTGCACTGGAACGAGCAATACCACGATCAACAAGTAATTGGATTTTTAATTTTTGTGATTCATCAAACTAGGAAAATAATAATAATCATAATAATAATAATGAAATCGTGTGAGTATTTAAAATCAAGTTACACGAATGAAACTTAACGGAATTGACGGATAGGTGACACTATTTGCAACCTGCGGTTTGTTGTAGCAAATAAACTTATAAGGGGTGTAGCTCGAGTGATCCTAAGGCGACATCGGGAGATTTGCTCAAGGAAGCAGCTGAAAGTTCCTGGTCTACAGGGTGACCGACCCTATGCAGTGGCCCCGAACATTCTAAACCTCCGTTTAGCGTGTTAACTGGCGTCAAGACCCTGATAACAAAAGGGTTTAAATCTCTGAAACATACAGGAATTGACAGTAGGGTGACAATTTGTGGAACCCGACGAGACACTGATATCAAAAGGGTCATTCCGAACGCTTAAGATACCGTGCCTAGCATGGTCCAAAATAATGGTCGCAAGGCTGTGGATGCGGTTAGCCTCTCTGGGGGATTAGGACTGAACGCCTATAAATCTGGATCCCATCCACTGAGCTTAGGTAAATTTGAAATTTTGGAATATAGCTTTACAGGATACTTGAAGGCGGCCCTAGACGATTTGTTTGGGGAAGCAGCCTTAAAGATCCTGGACTACTGACGCCGACCCTATGTGGTTGTCCCAAACACTCTGCATCTCGGTGTATTGTGTCAACTGGCGTCGAGGCCCCTTAAACAAGGGTCTCCAGTTGGGTTATGTGATCCGATGCTAAAGGGTACTGGACGCCAATGATGTCTGCCCACTTATGTAGTGGGATTAACCCTGCTTGGCCGAGTGCTTGCGCTTGGTCGAGTCCATGACATCTTCCCCATGGGAGGGTGTACGTTCCGGTTGACCTTGTGGGACAAACTCGATCTTTAGCTTCATGTAGGGTCTGAGGGCTCCGATCGATTGTATCAGCGCAAGGCAGTTGGAGGCCAGACGGTTGGAATGGTTGCTGGTTAGTGCACTGCTGGGTGGCTCGGTAATCCGTCCGGGGCGCCAGGTCTAGCTGGGAAAGCCCGCCTTGCCTCCCTTGCCGATTGGGGATTGTGGATAGTGGATTGGTTGGAGGGATCTTGTTGATTCATTAAGGCCCGAACGGGGGCCACTGCTCGTGCGCGTGCTTTTTGGATGTCCACTTGTCTGCAGACCAATCTAAACAACATGTACGTTCCCGTATGGGGCAGGGGTGATCGCGGTATTAGCTCTTGTGTTACCCAAAATGCAGTGGCGTGCATGTGCAGCAAGCTTGTTGCTTGACCAAGAATATTACACGAATGACAAGATTGTTATTAACACTTACTTACTTACGCCTGTTACCCCCGATGTGGAGGATAGGCCGCCGCCGACGAGTATTCTCCAACCTACTCACAAACATGCTCATACTTGTCAGTGTACTAAAAAAATACTTATCTCTTAGAAAACAAGAGGATCTAAGTGGGAGGAGTTGTAGGTTACAAAACAGGACAGAATGTTGTTCAATATGAGTGAGTTTATTTCCTAAATTGTATCAGTATAAACTTCGAATGTTTTTTCAGGGTTAACACCAACTTTGTAACTTTCAGTATGTATGATAAACTTGATGAGAGTAAATAATATTATCTAAGTAACATTGGAACAGCACCGACTGACCTCGCAATGAATGTTGACCGAACAGCTATAATTAAAGACATCAGCATAGCCGTCAGATAAATCAATAGCAATGAGGTATCAAGATCTGATAATAAAAACAGCTGAGGCACTAAAATCAAATACAGAAGTAACTGCAAAGATGCTCTATGCTCTCTTCAGCAAGATATGGGAGGAACAACATATACCAAGTGGCTGGAAAGGACACTTCATCGGGATACCACAGAAAGGCGATCTTAGCAAAGCATTACTCTTCTCTCATCACCAAGAAAAGTCTTCGACAGAGTGTTGTTAAACCTAGTGAAAGATTCAACAGACTCCCAACTTCAGAGAGCAGCAGGCTGGATTTTGTAAGGATCGGTCGTGTACCGACCAAATCATACGCAACACTACGGATCATTGTGGAACAATTAATTGAATGGAATAGATAGTCAACACTGTACTCAATGAAGGGCAGTTCACAGACGCATTCCACGTGAAAACCGATATCAGACAAGGTTGCCTATTTTTAATTTGTCTCTTAATCCTGATGGTTGACTGGATTATGAAAACGTCAACATCTCAGAAGAAGCACAGAATACAGTGGACAGCTTGGATGCAGCTGGACGATTTGACCGACAACCTACTGAAGAATGCTGGTTGGCACGCTGTGCTTCACTTGCGGTAACAGGAGTAAGGATACCGACAGTATAATCTTGAAAAACATGCCATCTATCTCCAATATCTGATTATTTACTTCTAATAACATTTAATCAGTGAAAGAATGTATTTATGAAGAGGAATATGTAGTACAGTGTTTACAAAGCATTGAAGTTATTCCTAATATACCTGGGTAACTATGAAAGTTAAACGTTTCGCTCAGAACCACACAACACCTTTTAAACAACAATAAATAAATAGTGGTAAGAAGAGTCTTACTGTTGATTGGCAGACCTTTTTTCTGGCCGATTATGGCTGCGGCAGTTTTCAATCTTTTGTAGGCTAGATATTGTTCATTCTATCAGAAAAGTTATTTAATTTTAGTTATGGTTCTTTTAGTACACTTTAACTTTCCTTATCTTTCCATCGATCTTAACAAAATTTGAGCAATTTTGTTTTATAGGTTGGCTCAATTAGTGTTTTCTGAGTTCGTCCTTTTTTTATTTCTATATTTGAGGTGATTGGTTATCTTACTGTCAAGTACTATTCTTTATTTACCGGTCTTCTGACGGTTTGTTTAAACATCTTTCTTATAATATGTAAAAAAATGTCAGTTCTGTTTGTTTTACATCACAATAATCAAAATCTAAAGCTCCAGTTATAGCTTTGATTTATTCAGCTGATCTTTTAATTCGCCTCAAGGTATGCTTATTTCCAATGGTTATTATTGCCGTTTGACTTTGAATATTTTGATGACATTTTTTTATAAGAACAGAGCAAATATTATTCGCTGACTGTCGATGACAAGTGGACTGAGCCATGTCGGTAATTGTCGACTACCTGGTTGGGGTCCGCGAGATGATAATAATCGATGGTTAGACACGCTGAATGACATGGCTGAAAACCATTCGCAATGGCGCCGGTGCATTTATTCTTTGTGTTCTCTCAAATCTTAATCTTCTGGATTCTTCAACACCTCTAGTTTTGACTTTCTAAACTTATCTCACTGAATCATACTTCTTGAATAATATCTTCTAATCCTAACCTCTTCGATTACTTCTAATACCTTTACTACCTCTTCTACTATTGGATTTGAATTGACAATCACATCTCTGTGCTAATGTGGTATGGCAACTTGAACTGATGTACTTACGTACAAAGTTCTACGTTGCACAACTCCAGTGAAATATTAGAAACAATTAAAAAAACAACAACTCACTCGTTCATCAATATTTTCATTATCCATAATAGATGGATTCGATAAAGATGATGGAATCTCAGATTCTGGTAGAAATGGCGCTTCAATATGTCCATCAATGACTAAAACATTACGCTTCAAATCAATACAACATTGATGACGTTTAAGCATGTCTAAACCAATGAGTAAATCCATCGTTTGATCTTTTAATACAATAAACGATGTCTAGAATGAGATAAATTTGGGACAAAATTGTATTGAAATTGAATTTTTTGCAAAATATTGATTGTGTGCGTGTGTGTGTGTGTGTGAATATTGTGTAGCGCGCTAAAAAAACATGAAACCAAATGAATCAATACTTAATTGTCCATGCTTAAGAATTATACAAACATTCACAGAAGATATTAATTGATAATAAGCTAGCTGTATATCATCTGAACGGCAGAACGGCTCTTTCCCTCTCTCTAATCAGGTTCATTGATAATGTAACCTGAAACTAGAAAGTACCACCATAGTTTCGACGAAATTCTTATTCATAGATACTCAAGAACATACTAACTAGATCCTTGGTAAAATACATGTTTACTTTGGAGAAGCTTCAACAGTTAGTTAGTTATAATAGGATACAATCAAATTTACTATTGAGATGGGGAATGAACAACTACAAATCCACGTTCTACATGTGGAATCGACAAGGGAAAACGATGTAGTGTTAAGAAAAGATCTGTTCACAGAAATTTCATGGGATACAATCATCAGCTGATAAGCTTTGTACCAGAGTCAAACACGTCGTACCTTAGTATTTTTTGTCACGTAAATCCAATACATTCGCAGTTTTTAATGCCGTAAAGAAATATCAGTTGAAAATAAATATCCACCAATCATGATTCACAAGAAAATAAGGTCAAGCCTATTAGGTAATCAATGGACATTTCCGCAAAACGATACCTGACAGGAAGGAGATCAGAGTGTAGAAACCTTGAGAAGGATCTAAGACAAATACAGAAGGACCGTTACGCATTCACGTTTATGTTACCTAAAACTAATCGTGCTTGCCTGTTTGTCATTGATAAACGCATCATTATTTTAGAAAGTGTAAATATTTGTGAAACTCCACCTAGAGTTCCGCTGAAGTTATGGCCGGTCCCAAGCCCGAACAAAGCAACAGGGTTGAGTATGGGGGTTAGCGACCATATCTCGTAGAAAAGTAACTCAGCATATGCTTTACTGAAGGTAACAGGTGTAAGTAAGTAAGTAAGTAAGATATTTGTGACTGTATACACAACTTGAACAATAAGAGTAACCAAAAATAAGCATCATTAATGAATCTGTCTTACATTTTATTAGCTTAACAACGAAAAATCAATCAGGATTATAAAGTATATATACAATTTACTTAAAACACTAAAAAACAAAACATATGCAATGCATTAAATGAAAATCACGCACATTTTGTGTGCATGTCGAATCAGGTAAACAACACATACACCGAAATTAGAGTATAATTAAAACAAAAACTAAAAAGATTATGTTTACGTTATAATTTTTGAAATAATTCTTTCAATGATAAAGTCACGCTATTCAAACATAATCATTTAGAGTAAAACAACATGTACAAAGAGAAAGTGGCAATAATTTATTTTAATCTATTCAAACAATCAATATCTTAGACGATCTCCTCAGACGATCTCATCAAGATGTAATACCACTAATCACTGAAACACACTGTTTGTTATTGTTAGTGGGATATAGATTGGATTAAAGAATGATTGCGTTGTTGCACGCTGATTGGCTCTTTCGTACCCAATCAGCACCAACCGATACTGAGGGAACATTCTAGAATCTTCTCATGGAAAAAAACTATGAATATACTAACGTCTTTTTCCTTCCTAATCTTGTGTTTTCCTTCTAACCTTGTTATTGGAATAATATATAATCTATTTCCTGTTCAACCGTGTTCTGATGTGGGAGAACGTCTCGAGTGAATTGGTGTCCGAGAAGACTAAGCATTAGGAAAAGATGGATTGTGATAAAGAAAGAATTATAAAAGTTATCAAATAGACAAACTCCGGCTGCCCACACCGCGGAAGGTTGTTTCTTGAGGAACCTGAAAAGGAAGATAGACTAGTTTCGGTCTTAACGACCCGGGAGCGTGACCGCAGAGTACAAGGGACAACTGTTTCAGGTCGGTCACACACAAGCTTTTTATGAGAGGTTTTTAAAGTATTAGCTTCGCTTTTGTTTATAAGCCCTTACTGAGGGAGACGGAAATCCCTGAGGTAAGGTGAGGTGTGACATTTTTAGGGTCGATCTTTTCTATCCCTTCCTTCCTTGTCAGAAGGCAGCATCGTTGCAAATGCTGGTTGTCCGAGGGAAACACCTTATCGCTGTCACACACCTCTGCAGTCAGCAGTACGACTTCACCCTCAGAACTTGAGTAGCTGTTTTTATTCTCATCGTTCTCCAATCGACCTGCCTGGCATGGTAGAAACTTCAGGAGCATATGTTCCAGCCAATGTAGCTCGGTTGGGTCATCACGATAGGCAAGCCCGACCACTACGTCAAGGTAGCAGCTACAGTTGGGTAGTCACCAATGGTTAGAGACCTTGAACGACATGGCTCAAAATCGCTTACAATGGCGCAGGTTGCATTCATTCAATGTGTTCTCTCATATTCTAATCTTCTGAATTCCTCATCACCTTTATCTTTCTCTTTCTAAATGTATCTCACTGAATTATACTTCTCGAATCATATCTTCATACCCTAATCTTCTCCATTACTGCTAATACTTCTACTATCGCTACCACTATTGAATTTGAACTGACAGTTGCGTCTCTGTGCTAATGTGGTATGGCAACCTGAACTAAATTACATACACGTACGAAGTTCTACGTTGTAACTGACTGACTGACTGAGTGAGTGAAAATAGAAATTATATACATAATTGATTTGAAGTAAAGAATACAACTACAATGAATTTAACTAACCGGAAGGAATACACAACCAATTTCAATGGATCCATTATGAACTCGACCAATGATAGTTTGTGTTCCAACACCATATGCTTTACCAGCCCATCGTTTATCAATTAATGAATCTAAATTACAACGTCGTGCACAATTTTCACTCATAATTGTACTTTGTGCACCAGAATCAACAAATGCTTTAATATGATGACCTTTAATTTTACAATTAATAAATAACATCGAAACTTGTCCAAATGTTTCTGGATAATATTCTAAAGCATTTTCCATTTGCATATCAATATTCTTTTGTCTAGTTTTAAAATGAAAAGTACACTTAAACAAAATAAAGAAACGTATAAAAGTATGTAATAATAATAATAATAAGAAGAATAATACTAATAAAAGTACCTACCATTAAGAGGATAAGTTCGACACGTTCATTAGTTCATATTTCAAGTTGTATCAACCACCAACTTCTCGATTCTGTTGTTGAAATCAATAATCAATCAATGTTAGACCACTATTAGAAACCTAGAAGTGCTGTATCACGATTTCATCTTTGTATGAGGACTCTTCAGAAGTGAACATTCACGACACCTGAAAGCGGGAATCAGACCAAAGACCTTTGGTCGCGCGCGCGAACGCTTAGCCTCTAGATCACTGATTTAACCATTGTCTTTGGTGGGTAGCTGGATTACACCAGATACAGTTGAACCCTATTGGTGACAGCTGCTCAAGAGAACTCTAGGAATTTCTTCACGAAGTTATGAATCTCATATGTACTTCCAACCACCAAGGCAGCTCTGATCTGACTTTTACTTGAGCAAACAGTATTATTTTTAAAGTCAGTAAATTCTCAATATACTGGAGTCGATATCTAATTGCAATGTCCATCAATCAGTTAACATGCTCTCCTTAAAACATAATTCATTTTAAGACAAGACAAGATAATAGGCACTAAGAAATGTACCACACAACAGAATCGCAATACCATCAAAAAATTAGGAGAACACAATGGCAAATAATCTTCACAGACAGTTATTGGTCTCTGCTCTGCTCAAAGACGTGATGTGAAATCGGAGTATATATATCCAATGACATTACCACAACATACGTAGAGTGGTATTCAACTGGAAATTAGACTTTACAACCATGCTAAGATTACTGGGGCTGAACTATTTTATACTACATGATAACTACACTGAACGTGACTGAAACCGGCACATACCTCTCTCTGACCTTTGCTATATGAAGCTTACCCATAATGCTAACTGGATCCATGAGCCTTTAAATTATTTCCAACGGTTTAAGACGCAACAAGCAGAGATATAATCAGCATAAAAACTGACACTTGTATGCATTGACCGCCTAAGTTGTTACGCCTGGTTGACATGATGAATTATGATCACTAAATAGGTGAAGATGTACCGCACTGTACAAAAGGACAATAATGTTACAGTACACATTATCTAAGTCTTATTTTATAGCGTAAATAAGTAGAATCTATCCGAAGTCATTTGTATAGTTTGTGGATACGAGGTAATAACAGGTTTGATATCGACATTGAAACTTTGTCAGTCAGTCAAAATCATTCGCGTCACTTAGATAAACATGATCAATACACTTGAAAACTTAACTATCCATAATTACGGTAAACAAAGATACACATCGGTTGCTAAATATCGTTTATCTTTTGAAAAGTTTAGAAATTATTAAGAATACCTAGTAGTTTAGTTCAATATTTTTGAAAAAATACTTTTGTTTTTAGATGTAGACATTTTGATCAAAACCATTAATGATGTTACTATAAAGTTTCTACTTTGAGAGTAAAAAAAAAACTCTGAAATGAAACTAAAGAAAATGGCTACTGAAATTTCGTTACAATTATAATAAGGGTCACCATAAGCTCGTCGTTGTCCCAGAAACGTTACAGAATGGAAGTTTAATATCCTGAGTACTGCAAAAAAAGACGTAATCACCTAAAGAAGTATGCTCAAATGTACTACTTTGGTAGTCGATGCGCTTTTAACACCATTTGCTGTGTTTGTTATTTAACATGATAAAAATAAAAGCTTTATTAATGCACAAGATAATTGATAAAACAATAACAAATCCATAGGTATGAATAGAAATATTAAAAATTTCAAAAGAATAAACTATTACCACTAACTTTATAAGTTCAGCTATCCTTTCTTGAACTGCTGGATTTAAAGCATCTGCAGACAACAAATTTTCAAGCTCTTCACGATGCTGACGAGCACTATTCTGTTGTGATTCAAAAACCCTTTTAAAAGCAACTAGTATAGAAGAATAAAAAAATGAACATTAATTAATCCATGGGAAAAATATCCAAGATAAATGAACACTCGACAATAAGCTCTTATTGATATTCACAACAGAATAAATTAAGTTAAATTAATCAAAAATATAAACATATTTAATTCATTACAATCTAAGCATTTCGGTTGTAGCAACTTACCACTTATTCATTATACTAACTTGAATAATTTTAGTCGTTTAAATTAATCGATAATAGCATAGACCATTTTCTTCTATTTGTAATAATTCGATAACAGTATTGACTATTGTGCATTTGATTGCGTTTTGTGCATGCTTACTCGCTTATTACATGTCTAGCCGATTATTGCTTGACTAATAAATACTTAGTCATTGCTTCAGCACATGAAGAGTTGACTCACTCGCCTTCTCCACATGGTTTTTTGCTTTGCTTGTACGCTTTTCGTTTTCATGTCTGTCTGTTTTAATGAATGTGTGAAATAAATTCATCCGCAAAACTGATAACTGAAGATTGAGCATCTCAACTTGATTTTATTTCCGTCTTATAAAGTATGGGGACATGAGTTGATACAAGTCGGTGCTGGTTTTTAAAACACTTCTGTTCATCTCCATAATCTGTGATTATCAGTTGTCAGTTAGCTGAAACGTAGAACTTGGCAAATATATATTTCAGCTGAAATTGCCATATCACATTACCACAGACAGATGGGATCGACAGTTTAAATTCCACATTAGTAGAAGTTGTTTTAGTAAATAAGCAATGTAATTGCAGTGATTTCATTTTGACGAAGACAAACACGATTGGTTAAATAGCAACATTTATTATTATAACCAATTGTACCAGTGAACATTTTACCGAACATTTTGTTTATCCGTACTTTTGCAACGCATTTTCCTTCTTCGAGATCATCATCTTGCTTTTGCTGCTCTGTACCTTAGACCAATTCTCTGGCATGTTTCGGTATTCTTTCGATACCATGAAATCGCCAGTAAATACACTTATTTCATCTGCACTAGCCCATCTTTCCTCTCTCAACCCGAGATTTGGGATAACGCTCGAGACTCGAACCTAATTGGTTTGTAGACGTGTTCACGGTCTTTCAACTCGAACATCTACATTAGTGAGCCCAACGTGATCGTGGTTGGACTTGAGGAACGTGGGGTGCTGGAACGTCGGTGCGGTCTTTAAATTCGAGACAAATATTAATAAGTTGTAACTGACTGACTGATGACAACCCTATCCTATTAAGCTGTGCAGTGACTAGCGTCGAGATCCATGGTTGGATGCGACGTTGAGGCAACCAAATAATTCTCCTCAATGCTAGTCCTCGCTATGATTTTGTCTGCTATGAAGGTGACCTTAGAGAGTGGTATGTCCTTGAGCAATGTAGTGATCGCAGGCTGTAGATGCACTGGTAAGGCTTCTAGCCACAGTTCTCTATGTCAGAGTCCACTGTTGCACGTCCTACCAGATACTGGAGGTGCGCGAGATGGTGGCTCAATCGTTCCTCCTAGTATGGGAGAAAATGTCTGAGAATCGCCTCCTTGAGACGGTTGTAGACGTCGGACTGAGAACAAACTCACGAACAGCGGGTATTTGGTCCCCAAGTAAAGATTCTAAGGCGTAAGCATACTTTTGTCGCTGGTTCGTGATGCGGTGGATCTTCAGTTGAGTTTCCAGGGCCGCGAACCAGACTTCTGGGTCGAAGGGAATGAAGGAGACAGGTCGAAAAGTGGCGGTCAGCACATCGGAGTCTATTAAGTTATCACAATTTTTGTGATTATCCACCATTTCGAAATGTTGTTGCGAATATTATATATATTAACAGATATCAACAGATATGAAGCAACAAGAAATGGGAGTAAATTTATAATAGATTCACCGAAAAATGATTTTCTTAGGGAAAAAATGGGCTCACTAATGCCGATCTTCGAGTCGAAAGACTTTAAACAAGTGTACATTGGTGAGTCCATTTTTTTCAAAGAAAATCAATTTTTGGTGAATCTATTATAAATTCATCTCACTTAGTTTTCCATGGGATGAGGTCGCTAACCCCACACCCAAACCTCCTCTTTTATCCAAATTTAGGACCGACAGCAGCCACAGAGGGGCTCCAGATAACCCCTCACTTGGAATCCCCAAGGCCAGGGAGAAACAGGGAGATTGAAGAACGGATTAGGCCGAGCATTCTAGACAGACATGGGGATGAACAAAAACTTGACAGAGGGAGGGCCCAGGACAGAGTAGGCTGGGGAATGCTGGTAGGAGGCCTATGCTCTATTCGGGATAACAAGCGAAAGTAAGGACTGAAGTTATTTCACGTTTTCAAATATCATTTTCTGTGCACTGAACTCGAAATATCTGAAACATTCCGGGTTTCGTACTCAACGTATACTAGGTCCTTTTAAAACCAAGGGACTCAATAGTCATGCTCGCATTTTAATTAGGAAATAAATTTATTACCAAGGATCCAGTATATGATAACGAAACCACAGAAGAGACAAGCGAGTTTTATTAAGATAAATATCTGGGTTGTCTTGACTGTTTCGATCATAGTATCTTAAGCCGAGGAATTTCATTTTGATATATCATACTATTAGCAGTCACTTTACTGTTGGTACTGGTTTGCTTACTTATTCTTCTACCAAGTAACCAATTAAGTAGAGATAACCTTATTATATGAACTACGGTAAAACAAATTACATTTCAAACTAAGCTACAAACCAGTGAGACGATCCGACCTTAAGGAGAGTACAAGCAGCTGCCAAAATTTTCTTAATAATGGTGAAAAGTATTAAAAACGTAAATTCTAAAGGCTAAATATAATCTGATGAGTTAAGGAAGCTTTAGCGAAGTAAAGACCGCTGCCTATTGCACAGAACTATTTACTAAAGGCTTAAAATCAAAACCCCGACCGAAGCTGCTACCTTGACGTGGTGGTCGGGCTTGCCTATCGTGATGACCCAACCGAGCTATACTGTCTGGAACACTTGTTCCTGCAGGTCCTACCATGCCAGGCAGGTCGATTGGAGAACGATGAGACTAAAAGCAGCTACCCAAGGTCTGAGGGCGAAGTCGTACTGCTGACTGCAGAGGGATGTGACAGCAGTAAGGTGTTTCCCTCGGACAACCAGCATCTGCAGCGATGCTGCCTTCTCACAAGGAAGGAAGGGTTAGAAAAGGTCGGCCCTAAAAATGTCACACCTCCCCTACCTCACGGATTTCCGTCTCCTTGGGTAAGGGTGCCCACTAAGGGCCTTTAAGAACGGAGCTAATCCTCTAAATACCTTTCATAAAAAGGCCGTGCGTGACCGGCCTCAAGTAGTTGTCCCTTGGACTCTGCGGTCACGCACCAACACTAATCCATCTTCCTTTTCAGGTTCGTAAAGAAACAACCTTCCACGGTGTGGGCAGCCGGGAAGTGATAGCCGCCCTCATACCCGCAACAGCACACGAGACAAAATTGTTCAAAATCAAATCCTTCCTACATTCCCTAATACCTCTCTTATCTCCACAACTAACTCTTCTCACACTCATTTATTACAGTGCATAGCTAATGCAAACGATGCGAGTTTGCGAAACGTCGTTCCTGGTCTCCTTAAACCCCGTTCCAAACTACATGTTGGAGCATTCAATGTACGGACATTGTGTCAAATAGGGCAACAGGCATCATTAGCTAGGACTTTAGAATCTCGTTCCATCGATGTGTGCTGCGTCTCGGAAACGCGCATACAGGGTCCGAGTAGCATCACTCATTTGACCTCACCATGTCAAGATAAAGAAGCAGCTCGATTTACCCTTCGTGTATCCGGTAGCCCTGATGCTGCTTCTAGGGGCCTCGCCGGTGTAGGTATAGCATTGAGTCGTAGGGCAGAACAATCTCTCCTTGACTGGATCCCTGTAGATAGTCGCTTGTGCGCCGTCCGACTCAACGGGACAGTAAGGACTCGGAAAGATAGGGACACTCGCCGTTGCCTCTTCGTCATATCAGCCTACGCCCCCACTGACTGCAGCCCAGATGATGTAAAAGATGAGTTTTACAGAAAGCTTTCGGACCTCCTCCAAAAAGTTAAGCGCTCTGATATAGTTATAATGGCTGGTGACTTCAATGCACAAGTAGGTAGACTAAGTGAAAATGAAAGACACCTAGGTGGATGTTACGGTCTCGCGGCTCAAAGAACAGACAATGGCGACCGTCTGTTGCAACTGTGCTCAGATAACCAACTATTTCTAGCAAACACTAATTTTAAGCATAAGGAAAAACACCTTTTGACCTGGCGACCCCCGAAGTCGTCTCAACGTTGGACACAACTAGATCATATCGCCATCAGCTACCGATGGAGGAGTTCGATAGAGGACTGTCGCTCGTTCTGGGGCACATGTTTAGATTCAGATCATGCCCTAGTGCGAGCACGTATTTGTTTGAGGCTTGCTGGACGTAGGAAAGACACCGTAAGAAAGCCTCTTAGGGCTTTACTTAATGATAATCAAGCTAAGAAAATATTTCAGGAGGAACTAGAAAAACAGTTAGGCGGCCATGCAAGTGATTCCCATCCTGAAGCAGGTTGGAATCATATCAAGAAGGCTGTGGAAACAGCAATGGTATCTGCTAGCAAGGTAAACCACAATGCTAGGATGAAGCAGTGGATTTCAGTCGCATCCACCGAACTGATGGATGCTCGAAAACGCATCCCACCTGACTCTGAACATGATGAAGAGCGTAGTCAGCTTAGGCGCTGACTTATAAAAAGCCTACGTAACGACCGTGAACAGTGGTGGGTGGCGAAAGCAAAAGCGATGGAAAAGGCAGCGGCGATAGGCAACAGTAGACAACTTTTCCGCCTTATCAAAGAAACCGGTATCAGGAACCCGAATGTAAGTGAGACTATCTCGGAAAAGGATGGTCTTATTATCCATTCTCAATCTAGGAGGCTGGACCGATGGGCAGAACACTTTAGGGATCAGTTCAACTGGCCTTCAGCTACTCTTCGGTTGCCCACGATCTCCAGTCATCCTGAATGGCAAATCGATTTAAGTCCTCCCAGTTTACATGAAGTTGAGAAAGCTATAGGAAATCTAAGGAGAGGTAGAGCGGCAGGTCCCGATAGGCTTACCCCTGAGATATTTAAGGATGGTGGTCCAGTTTTAACGGTTAGACTGACTGAGATCCTAGGTAGAATCTGGGAAATGGACGTAATCCCATCTGACTGGTCTCAGTCGCTAATTGTCCCAATCTACAAGAAAGGACAGAAGTCCTCTTGTGACAATCACAGGGGAATAAGTTTAACTAATATAGTTTCTAAATTGTTAGCCCCGATTATACTTAGACGTCTAACTAGAGCTCGCGAAGAGCAGACTCGAGAGAACCAGGCTGGTTTTCGACCTGGTCGTGGTTGTATAGACCACATTTTCACACTACGACAGGTCCTGGAACACAGACACACATTTAGACGTTCGACAATAGTCGTGTTCCTGGACCTTAAGGCGGCATTCGACTCAGTGGATCGTGAGGTTCTGTGGCAGTGTCTGTCATTGAAAGGTGTACCAAAGAAGTACATTAACCTTATACAAGCACTCTATTCGAACACCACTGGTCGGGTGAGAGCATATGAAGAACTGTCATCTGAATTCTCTACATCAAGTGGTGTCCGTCAGGGCTGTCCACTCTCTCCATTCTTGTTCAACTTTGTCGTAGACATCCTCTTAGAGTTAACATTAAGCTCGTCAGATTTTTAAGGGGTTGACCTTCTACCAGGAAAGTCGCTTACTGATCTAGAATATGCCGATGACATAGTTCTATTCGGTGAAGACGCTGACAAAATGCAGAGTCTTCTGACTACCATAAGCAACAATGCGAGCATGTTCGGGATGCGGTTTTCCCCCTCGAAATGCAAAATGTTGCTTCAAGACTGGGTTGCTTCGGCACCTGAACTAGTGATAGGGAGTGAAATAGTCGAGCGTGTAGATCACTTCACTTATCTGGAGAGTCTCATCAGTGCTGACGGTCTGGTGACTGACGAAATCTCAGCTCGGATACAGAAAGCTCGATTGGCTTTTGCCAACCTGCGTCACTTATGGCGTAGGCGAGATATCCGTTCGCTAACCAGAGGGCGGGTGTACTGCGCAGCAGTTCGTTCCGTTCTCTTATATGGCTGTGAAACATGGCCGTTAAGAGTAGAAGATGTTCGTAGGTTACTAGTATTCGATCATAGATGTTTAAGAAGCATTGCTCGTATATCGTGGGACAACCGAGTAAGCAATGCTGTCGCTAGGAAACGAGTACTAGGTAAGGATGGCAGATCAATCGATGAAGTGGTGAAACTTCATCAGTTGAGGTGGTTGGGACCTGCGTTACGTATGCCTAACCACCGACTGCCTCGACGAGCTATGTTTTGTAGTGTGGGAGTAGGTTGGAAGAAAGCTAGGGGCGGCCAGACCAAAACATGGCAGAAATCCATGAAGTCATTGACTAGTGGACTGAGCCATGTCGGTAATTGTCGACTACCTGGTTGGGGTCCGCGAGGTGATACTTACCGATGGTTAGAGACCTTGAATGATATGGCTCAAAATCGTTTGCAATGGCGCAGGTGCATCCACTCTTTGAGCTCTCTCAAATCCTAATCTTCTGGATTCGTCAGCACCTCTACCTTTGGCTTTCTAACCTTATCTCACTGAATTATATTTTTTGAATAATATCTTAAACCCTAGTCTTCTTTATTATAACATGAATACCTCTACTATCTTTATCACTATGGGATTTGATTTGACATTTGCGTCTCTGTGCTAATAATGTGGTATGGCAACATGAACTTATGTACATACGTACGAAGTTCTACGTTGCAACTGACTGACTGACTAAAATCAAAACAATATTTTACCTGGGTCATTAATAACGGCAGCCAACTCTGGATTTCGTTCACGTAATATAGACAGCTGAGAGGCAGCACTCCCTAGGAGATACTTTCGTATAGCTTCAGGCATTCCAGAACTCGATGAACTTGGGACCTTTATTGATCTAAAATCTAACGAAGGAACAAGACGTGACTGTTGAAATGATCAAGTATGTTAAGATTTCTCACCGGCCCACTAATGTCTGATTCATTCGTATTGCTTTTTGGGATAGGGACAGCAAAAAGAAGATCCTGATCCCTGATTCCTGCTTTTTCAATAGTGCTAGTTGACTGAATACGTAAAATCTCGCCTTCTCTTGATAATTCAAAGTCGACTCCTGATATTCCACTTTCAACTTCAATAAGCATTTTGAGCTCTGATATTAAAGTGCTATTTGAAACTTCTAGTGGGAAAAATGCATCTCCAGATAAGCAAACAGTTATCCTCATTACAACCGTTACTTTCAACTTAAATTATCCACCCTTCAATAAACAATATCCAATATATGCAATATCTTTTTCACGGGCTGGTATAAACCTGTTGATTTATCTGCTCCCGATTATTGTTCTTTCCGTACGGTTTTAGTTGTTTGGCAGTTTCCAATGAATGGAGGTCTATGTCTGTCTAGTTCTAGTCAGTTGGTGGTTGTTTGTTAGTTTGCATGTCCCGTGATTTGAATAAACACTCTTGTTTCAGAGCAGTAGGGTTTCTGGATACTAATAGCTATCACATCACCCTACCGGGGATTAGTTGGTTGCAATGTGGTGAATAATGAGGAGAAAAGTTCAATGCTAATAAGATTTCAGAGCTAAGCGAATAAATTGAAAATCTAGTTTATGATTAGTAATGAAGGTTGTGCGAGAGGAATGAAATGTAGCAACGGGGAGGAAACAGAGATAATGAGCGATACAGATCAAGTTAGTGATTTGAGTAACTGAAAATAATAACATCTAGCAGGTCCCGAGAACTCCACCAGTAGAACCTTCGGGGCTACTGCCGGTCCCAAGCCCGGGTAAAGGAGGAGGGATGGACATGGCGTTGGCGACCCCATTCCATCTAAATCTAACTTGCCAAAAAAACGCTAACCAGAAAAAATAATTCAAACCATTTTAACTCTGCCCTGGGAGTTGGAGGAAGAATTATGACGTCGCGTGATGAAAGCCGAGTTCCCTCGGAAGCCACGGGGCCGATGCCTCTTCTGACAACCAGAGCAACCACTTTTTTAGGTACATGGAACGTTCGTACATTGTGGGAGACTGGAAGACTATTTCAAGTTGCGGCAGAAATGAAACGATACAACCTCGAGGTGCTCGGCATCAGTGAAACGCATTGGACACAAGTAGGACAACTGAGACTAGCTTCAGGGGAACTGCTGTTATACTCTGGTCATGAAGAGGAAAACGCTTCACATACACAAGGAGTTGCACTGATGCTGTCCAAACATGCACAAAAGGCACTGATAGGATGGGAATCTCATGGACCCAGGATCATTAAAGCATCCTTCAAAACAAAGAAACAGGACATTACAATGAACGTCATCCAATGTTATGCACCTACCAATGACTACAATGACGACGTTAAAGATCAATTCTACGAAAGGCTGCAGTCAATCGTCGATAAATGTTCACCAAAGGATTTGACGATTCTTATGGGAGACCAGAATGCCAAGGTTGGAATGGACAACACTGGATATGAAGACATCATGGGACGACATGGACTGGGAGAAAGGAACGAAAACGGTGAGAGATTTGCAAACCTATGTGCCTTCAACAAACTGGTCATCGGTGGCACAATATTTCCGCACAAACGCATTCACAAAGCCACATGGATTTCACCGGACCACACTACTCAAAACAAAATCGACCAAAAGTGTATCAACAAAATGTTCAGAAGGACGATGGAGGATGTGAGAACCAAGAGAGGAGCTGATATAGCTTCAGACTACCACTTTCTGATCGCCAAAATGAGATTGAAGCTTAAGAAGCACTGGACAACGGGGCAGACAACATCACACAAGTTTAATACGGCCTTTCTTCGGGATACTGTAAAGCTCAACGAATTCAAAATAGCCCTCACCAATAGGTTCCAGGCCTATCAGGATCTACTCAATGGAGAGGACGCAACATTGGAGAACAATTGGAAAGGGATTAAGGAGGCAATCACTTCAACATGTCACGAAGTTCTGGGTCACAAGAAGTACCATCACAAGGAATGGATCTCTGTTGATACTCTTGCAAAAATTGAAGAAAGGAGGAACAAGAAGGCAGCAATCAATGTCAGCCGAACAAGAACAGCGAAAGTTAATGCACAAGCTGCATACTCAGAAGCAAACAGGGAAGTGAAGAAGAGCATCAGAGCTGACAAACGAAAATATGTGGAGGATCTAGCAATGACGGCGTAAAAGGCTGCGAGAGACGGAAACTTGAGCTGGCCAGAAACTACTGTAAAGCAGAACGACCAGTGAAAAGTAAGGAGGGCAAAGTAATCAGCAACACTGAACAACAGCGAAATAGGTGGGTAGAACACTTTAAGGAACTATTGAATTGACCAGCTCCACTGAACATAACCAACATCGAAGCAGCACCTACGGACCTCCCAATTAATATTGGCGCACCTACAATTGAGGAGATCAGTATGGCCATCAGACAAATCAAGATCGGCAAAGCAGCAGGACCAGACAACATTCCAGCAGAGGCAATGAAAGCAGATGTAGAAGCAACTGCGAAAATATTTCATAACCTCTTCAAGAAGATTTGGGATGAGGAACAAGTACCATCAAATTGGAAAGAAGGATACCTGATGAAAATACCAAAGAAAGGCGATCTCGGCAAGTGTGAGAACTACAGAGGCATCACTCTTCTTTCAATACCAGGCAAAGTCTTCAACAGGGTATTGTTAAACAGAATGAAGGACTTCGTAGACGCCCAACTTCGAGAGCAACAGGCCGGATTTCATAAGGATCGATCGTCTACTGACCAAATTTCAACATTACGGATCATTGTGGAACAATCAATAGAATGTAACTCACCACTCTACATCAACTTCATTGACTACGATGATGCATTCAATAGCGTGGATAGTTAAACACTGTGGAGGCTTCTTCGACGCTACGGTGTGCCTGAGAAAATAGTTAACATCATACGGAATTCTTATGATGGATTCAACTGCAAAATCGAACACCAAGGACAGCTAACAGACTCTTTCGAGGTGAAGACCGGCGTGAGGCAAGGTTGCTTACTCTCACCCTTTCTCTGAATCCTGGTCATCGACTGGATTATGAAAACGTCAACATCCGGAAGGAAGCACGGTATCAACTGGACAGTTAGGACACAGCTGGACGATCTGGACTTCGCAGATGACCTGGCTCTTCTATCGCACACGCAACAACAAATGCAAATGAAGACGACCAGTGTAGCAGCAGCCTCTCCAGCAGTAGGTCTCAACGTACATAAAGGAAAAAGCAAAATTCTCCGATGTAACACAACATGCACCAACCAAATCACTCTTGATGGAGATGCCTTGGAGGACGTTAACACCTTTACATATCTTGGCAGCATCATCAACGAGAAAGGTGGATCCGATGCAGATGTGAGGGCACGGATTGGCAAAGCAAGGGCTGCATTTCTACAGTTGAAAAATATCTGGAATTCCAAACAACTTTAAATCAACACCAAAATCAGGATTTTCAATACAAATATCAAGACAGTTCTACTGTATGGAGCGGAAACATGGAGAACTATGAAAGCCATCATCCAGAAGATACTAGTGTTTATTAACAGTTGTCTACGCAAAATACTTCTTATTCGTTGGCCAGACACCATCAGCAACAACGAACTGTGGGAGAGAACAAACCAGATTGCAGTGGAGGAGGAAATCAGGAGGAAGCGATGGAAGTAGATAGGACACACACTACGAGACAAGCCCTCACATGGAACCGTCAAGGTGAAAGGAAAAGAGGAAGGCCAAGGAACACATTACGCCGAGAAATAGAGGAAGATATGAGAGGAATGAACAAACATCGGAAAGAACTGGAGAGGGAAGCTCAGGACAAACAGAGTTGGTTGGAGAAAACTGGTGGGCGGCCTATGTTTCGTTGGGGGTAACAGGCGTAAGTAAGTAAGGTCCCGAGACATGCACCAGTCACAGGTGGTCCATGAGAGTGATGATAATCCGTATGTGAGTACGTGTCTATCAAGTCTCAAATTGAAGCTGTCCACTGAGGATGCTGTGGTCACGTCGTCTGGGAGATCACTCCAAGTTGTAACGATCCTTAAGGGAAAGAAGTGTGCACGAACCTGAACGTTCGCTCTTTGATGCGCATGTTTTCGAAAGTTTCCCTGAAGTGCGTGGTGATGATTTTTTGGTAAGATGCTGACGTTTGGATAGTTTGGAGTGCTTAAGATGTTGAACGTCATAATCAGACCACCTCTGACTCTCCTGTAAACCATGGAGAATAATCCCAAATGCAGAAGCCTATCTTCGTAAATTTCATTTTTCAGTCCTACCAACCCTATCTTTTCATGAGCTAGGATAAACCATTTGGTTTTTTGCGCTTGAATTTTGTTCCTTCGGTGAGGTTCCAGATAGTTGGTAGTTTCCAATGGATGACTGCCCAACCACTCAACCGTACTAATTCTAGTCATCTATCAGTTGTTTATGAATTTGTATCTTCCATGATTTGAGAGAATGTTTGTCTCAGGGCCATTGGGTTTCTTGATACCAGCAGCTAAAATAAAACTACACCAGATATCAGTTGGTTGAAATTTAGAGAATATTAAGGTTGTAATTCTAATGCTAATAAGAAAGTTTCATAACAATCTAAATAGTTATAGAAGCTATTTAATTGGTAGGCAAAATGGTAAGGATGGGAGTAAGTGAAGGCAAGGCAAAGGAAAAAGAGCGAATAAATTGCAGTGATGACAACTGGCACGTCTCGAGACATGCATCGGACACAGCTGGTCCAAGATGGAAATGGTAATCCTTATGTGCTTTCGTGTTTATCAAGCTATCCACTGGGGGGGGGCTTTGGTCACTTCGGCTTGGAGGGCATTCTAAGTTGGAACAGATGTGCAGATGTGCAGTTGATGTTACTACCTTTAACGTAAACTGAGAAAAATGTTTACAGATTGGTTCTATTTGTATTAGACTCTCAGCAAAGACCATTGATTTGGAAAACTGTTTTCCATGTAAATGCTATCCGATTACATATTTTAAAACTGAGTGGTATGATTTCTAGGAAGTTACTGACTTGAAGAAGTTTGAGAAAGCATGCGTGATTATGAAGATCATTTTCTTATAAATTTTATATCCTTTTTATGTGATTTAGTGGTCCGTGGTGATTTATGATTTATCGGACTGCAGGAGCAGTGAAATGTCACTGGGTCCTAGGCAAATCATCTGACAGGCCAGCCAGTGAATTCCAGCGCTCACCAATCATTTGCATGCCTGAAACAGGCACATGCAACAGTAGTTCCTCAGTGGACTTATGTCACTTACTAGTGCCAGCATAGACGCTGTCGACTATTGAGTGTATTTAATGTAAC